AGCCAGGATGGTCTCGATCTCCTAACGTCGTGATCCGCCCGCCTCGGCCTCCCAAAGTGCTGGGATTACAGGCTTGAGCCACCGCGCCCGGCCAGAAGCCATTCTTGATTTAAACACACAGAAAAAGAAAAGAACAAACAGAGACAGGGAGAAACTTTAAACATAAATGAGAGCATTTGACTGAAACCAGTAAGTAACACACATTAGAGTGAAATACTAAAAGCATGCCCATAATGAGTAACAAGACAAAGATGAATATGAATATTGAACTACTTTTATTCACCATTATTACTTGCAGCTTTCAGCTAATGCAATGAAAAAATACACTGCTTTTCAGCTAGCATAATGCTATGCCTAGAAAATATAAGAAGCAACCGAACATCTACATCTATTAGAATAAGAAAAATCAATAAAGTGACGAGATAAAACAAATATTGTAACAGAAACAGTTTCTTTTTTAACTAAGAAATGTAAATAAAAGATAAATGGGGTGGGGTAGTTTATAATAGTAACAATAATATAATTGCCAGGGAATAAATCAAAATTATAAGAATGTATATGATTGTAATAAAACTGATGTGCGTGAATAAAAAATCATATGCCACTGTGATGGAAGATATAATGTCATAAAGGTATCAATTTTTTATAATATGCAAGCATAATGTAGTTCTACTTAAGATTCTGGTGCAGTTTTAAGAAAATGATAAAATTATTCTAAAATTCATGGAAAGAACAAATGTAAAAAAATTATAAATAAAATTGTTTAAAAACGAAGGAGGAAAAGATTTGTCTAGTCACATATTTAAAGTATTATAAAGGAACTCATTTTTTAAAAGCATAACACAAGGGCAAAAAGAGAAGACTTACGGGGATTGTCTGCAAAATGTAAAAAGCAGGTATCTTTTGGCTCAATAATTCTAATGCAAGCAATTTATTCAAGAATATGATTTTTAAGGCCTGGCGCGGTGGCTCATGCCTGTAATCCCAGCACTTTGGGAGGCCGAGGGGGCTGGATCACGAGGTCAGGAGATTGATACAATCCTGGCTAACACAGTGAAAACCCGTCTCTACTAAAAAGAAAATACAAAAACGTAGCCGGGCATGGCAGCGGGCGCCTGTAGTCCCAGCTACTTGGGAGGCTGAGGCCCTAGAATGGCGTGAACCTGGGAGGCGGAGCTTTCAGTGAGCAGAGATCACGCCACTGCACTCCAGCCTGGGAGACACAGTAAAGACTCTGTCTCAAAAAAACAAACAAACAAACAAAAAAAACCAAAAGAATATGACTTTTAAAACATACCCACCTACCCTCCCTCACACAACTGTTCACTAAACTATAGTGACAGGAAAAGAATGGGAACAACAGACTATAAAAGAGGCCCAATGGTTAAGTAAATTAACACAAAAATTCATGGTAAAATATCATGCTGTTATTTAGAAAGAATAAGGCAGATCTACAGTGACAGAGTTCAGAACATGCTAAAATAAAAAGGACAAAATATAGCACGCTGGCATTTATATTTTGTTATTCCTAACAAGCCCCTTTCAACCACACCTGCGTTTATGTTAATGAGGTCACTTCTGGAAATCCCCTAAAGATGGGGGCTGGCTGAGAGAAAAGCCAGCCATATGATTAGAGGGTGGGACTTTAAGCTCCACCCCCTCAACCTCTGGGGAACAGAGAACTGAAGACTGACTTAATCACCAACAGCCAATGATTTAATCAATCGTGCCAATGTAATGAAGCTTTCACAAAAACTCAAAAGCACAGCATTCTGAGAGCTTTCAGGTTGGTGAAGAAGAATGCACCCACGTGCAAGGAGGGTGCTATACTGCAAACTCCATGGAGACAGAAGCTCCTGTACTCAGGACCTCATCCTATGTGTCATTTCAACTAGCTGTTCATCTGTATCCTTTAGGATACCCTTCATAATAAATCAATAC